CCCAAACACTACCATGTTTGCAGATTGGCTGTGTTTGGACACTCCTGTGCTTAGCCAGGCAGTTTAAAACTGTCTTAGCCTTTACTTCCTGTTTGCATGGATCCTGAAGGTCAGAGTTAAGAGCCAGGATCTTCTGACCCTTCTGAGCATGCATCCACCCCTGGGCCTGTGCAAGGACTTCTATATTTAACATACCCAAGAGTTTTTGAAAGCCCTCATTCCCCCAAATGTCTTGTTCGCTAGTCTCTTCCTTCCCAGTCTTTTCAGTATATCTATTGTGTGCCCCACCTATTATCCTTTGCCCCAGGTGGCAGTGGTTAATACATTTGCTTTTAAATTCTTTTGACAAACACTGCCTGGGAAGCTATCTCAGCCCGAAGGAAGCTCCCAGGCAGGGAGAACAAAGGCAAGAGAAGTTCTTGAGCCAGTCCTTCATGTAACTTCTAGACAGATCAAAACATACAACCACAGTTCTTTTGTAGGGGTCCAACTTAATTTTTTTACATATGGTTGTGCAGTTGTCCCAGCACCGTTTGTTGAAGAGATGGCAATGAGTTTTTAGATATGACACCAAAAGCACAATCTGTGAAAGACAAAACTTAGAAATTGGACTTTATTAAAATGCACTATGTGATACTGTGATTTTATAATAAAAAATGTATATCTGGTTTTTAATCCTGTTCCTGACACAGAGCTCCTAAAACTCTTGGAATTTCCTAAGTGATGAGAGTGATAAAGGTGTCTTTTGTTGTGTTAATGAGGTGACTTTTAGAAGATTTTTTTTTTTTTTTTAAGATTTTATGTATTTATTTGACAGAGACCGCGAGAGAGGGAACACAAACGGAGAGAGGGAGAGGGAGAAGTAGGCTTCCTGCTGAGCAGACGCTTCATGACTGAGCCACCCAGGCGCCCCTAGAAGATGTCTTAAGGATAGAAGCGGGTTGCCATTGGAGCTAACCATGTGATTAGAGATTGGAACTTTCAGTCCCACCCCCACAATGAGGAGAAGGCTGAAGATCTGAGTTCAGTTGATGATCAGTGATTTAATCAGCCACACCTGTGTAACAGAGCCTCCGTAAAAATCTGAAAGGACGGGGTTCAGAGAGCTTCCAGGTTGGTGAATACAGGAAGATTTGGGGAGAGTGGTGCACTGGCTGAGGACCTGGAAGCTTCACACCTTTTCCCCATACCTTCCCCTATGCATCTCCTTCATCTGGCTGTTAGTGATACCCTTTTATAATAAACTGGTAACCTAGGAATCAGTGAACCACTCTTAACAAATTAATCAGACCCAAGGTGGTAATCATTAGAACCTCCAATCTGTAGCTGGTTAGTCAGCACAAGGCATCCTGGACTTGGTTGGGACTAGCATCTGAAGTGGGGTGGGGGAGCTTGTAGGACTGATCACTTAACCTGTGGGATCTGATGCTATCTCTGGGTGGATACTGTTAGAATTAAGTTGTAGGACACCTGGCTGGTGTCGGAGAATTGCTCGTTGGTGTGAGGAAACCACCCCCATCCCCCACGTACATCCACATTTTGGAACCTTTACACTGTTAAGAGAATGAAAGGAGAAGCCATAGGCTGTGAGAAAATATTTGCGAAACACAAATCTGGTAAAGGACTTGTTTCTAAAATATATAAAGAACTCTTAAAATGTAATAATGTGAAAACAAGTAAAAAGTGAGCAAAGGATCTGAAGAGATAGCCTACCAAACAACATACATAGATTCCAAATAAGCATATGAAAAGATGTTCAACATCATGTCATGGGAATTGCAAATTAAACCATCAGTGAAATGTCACGGCACATCTGTTAGATTGGCAAAATTTTGAAAAGCTAATAATACCATATGCTGGTGAAGATAGAGAACAATAGGAATTCTTTTTTTAAAAAAAACATTTATTTATTAGAGTGAGAGCGAGCATGAGCTGGTGGAAAGGGGAGCAGAGGGAGAGGCAGAAGCAGACTCCCCATTAAGCAGGAAGTCCGACCTGGGGCTCATTTCCAGGACCCCGAGATCACTACCTGAGTTTAGGTACACTTAATTGACTGAGCCACCTAGCTGCCTAGGAATTCTCCTTCAATCCTAGTAGGAATGCAAAATAGTACCACTATTTTGGAATACCATTTGGCAGTTTCTTACAGGGTTAAAACATAGGCTTACCATTATCCAGCAGTTGTATACCTATTTACTCAATTGAATTGAAAACTTAAGTTAATAACCTGTATGTGAATATTTATAGCAGCTTTTTTCATAATTGCCCCAAACTGGAAGCAAGCAAGATGTCCTTTAATAGGGGAATGGATGAACTGTGGTACAAACACACAATGGAATATTATTCAGCAATTTAAAAAAAAAGTTGTCAAGCCATGAAAAGGTATGGAGGAACCTTTGGTAATATTGCTAAGTAGAAGAAGGCAATCTGAAAAAGCCACAAATTGTATGATTCCACCTACCTGATGTTCTGGAAGAGGCAAAACTTTTTAAGATGTTATTTTTAAGTAATCTCTACACCTAGTGTGGGGCTCAAATTTACAACCCTGAGATCAAGAGTCTCTATCGACTGCTCGAGCATGCTCTACGGACTGAGCCAGCCAGGCACCCCTGGACTTATTTACTTACTTGCTTTATTTATTTTTATTTTTAAAAATTTTATTAATTTTTTTAAAGATTTTATTTTTAAGTAATCTTTATACCCAATGTGGGCTCAAACTCACAACCCCAAGATCGAGAGTCACATACTCCACTGACTGAGCAGCCAGGTGCCCCTGGGACTTTTTATTTAAATTGAAGTATAGTTAACAATGTTACATTATTTGCAGGTATACATCATAGTGATTTGACAGCTCTATATGTTATAATACATGCCACAAGTGTAGGTGCCATCTGTCACCATACATCACTATTACAACACCATTGATGTGTTCCCTATGCTGTACCTTTCATCCCTGTGACTTACTCATTTCATAAGTGAAAGTCTGTACTTCCCACTTTCTTTGCCCATTTTGCCTGTCTGCTTACCCCCTCCCCTCTGGCAACCACCGGTTTGTTCTCTGTATTTATGGGTCTGCCTCTGCTTTTTTTGTTTGTTCCTTTGTTTTGTGTTTTATATTCCACATATAAGTGAAAGCATATGGTATTTGTCTTTCTCTGACTTATTTCACTTAGCATAATACCCTCTAGGACCATCCATGCTCTTACAAATGGCAAGATCCTATTTTTTTTTTTATGGCTAATACTCCATTATATATATATATATACCACATTTTTATCCATTCATCTACTGATGGGCATTTAGGTTGCTTCCATATTTTATCTGTTGTAAATAATGCTGCAGTAAAAATAAGGTGCACGTGTATTTTCGAATTAATGTATTCAGTTTTCTTGGATAAATACCCAGTGGTGGAATTACTGGATCATATGGTATTTCTATTTTTAATTTTTTTAGGAACCTCCATACTGTTTTCCACAGTGGCTGTACCAATTTACATTCTTACTAACAGTGCACAAGGGTCCCTTTTCTCAACATTCTTGCCAATACTTGTTATTTCTTGTATTTTTGATACTAGGTATTGTGACAGGTGAAATTGTGGACTTAAAAAAAAAACTTCCAGAATATTCCAGGCACTGATTAACAAGGTAGAGAAGGTGCCTACTTTTGTGGACTTTAGAGTCAATAAACCAGAAAATTTTCAGTGATGTCATAGAAAGTGATAGGATGGCTACTTTAGATTGGATAAGTCCAGACCTTTCTGACGAGGTGATATTTAACTTGAAGCCATGTGGGGCTTGATCCCAGGACCCCAAGATCATTACCTGAGCAGAAATCAAGAGCAGAATGTTTAACCAACTGAGCCACTCGGGTGCCTCTATTTAAAGATAGAGGAAAAAGCAGAGGGAGCAGTTCGGTACAAAGGCTGGAATGACCTAGTGTGTTTGAGAATTAGAAAGAAAGCTAGATGTTTAATGGGTAAGGGGGAGAATGATATGAGGTAAGGTCAGAGAGTCAGTCATGGGTGGAATGGAGTCAGGCATCTGTAAGCCAGGGGAAGGAGTTTGGATTCTCTTTTAACTGAGATAAGAGGTTACTGAGTGTTTAAGCAGGGTAGAATATGATCTAACTTTTTTTTAAGATTTATTTGCGAGCGAAAATACGAGCAGGGGAGAGGGGTAGAGGAAGAGGGAGAAGCTAGACACCAGGTAGAAACAGGGAGACCTGTTCATACTTGGAGTACCTTAGGAGGGAGGCATAATCCATGAAAAAAAAGTCAGGCTGTCAGTGGCCACTATGAACAGATTGATGGTAGAGTTGGTGAGAAATGGTTGGATTCTGGATATATTTTGCAAATAGAGACTGTTGAATTGCTGGCAAGTTAGGAAGGGAAATAAAAAACAAAGGCAGGATGACTCCAGGTTTTTAGCCTGAGCATCTGAAAGGATGGAGTTGTTACCAGGAGTTCACTTTGATGTGTGAAGTTTGGGGGGGTTGGGGGGGGTCTTTTAGATACCCAAGGGAACTTGTTTGGAGTTTAGGAATGACATCTGGGATAGAAATATAAAGTTGGGACTCACTGGTATATAGCTGACATTTAAAGCCATAACACTGGATGATATCCTTGAGGAAGTGAGTATAGAGAAGTAAGAGGGAACCAAGAACTGAGCCCTAGGGCACTCCAACATTAAGAGAGGGGAGAAAACAGGAGGGATTGTCAAAGGAGCCTAAGAACAATCAGTGAGGTAGGACGTAAACCTAGAGAATGTGTCTTGGGAGCTCCAGGGAAGAATGTAAACCATGGAAGAAGGAATGATAAGCAATGTCATTTTGTTGATAGGTTAGGCAGGATGAATACTAGAATTGAAAATTTTATTTAGCAATGCTAAGGCCACTATTATTGTGTGGTCTTCAGTGAGACATGGAAATAGCCTGGTTAGCGCTATACATGTTTTTTATATGGGATCTTTTGATGTTTACAGTGTCTCCTTTTCCATGCTCAGATTTGCCGTCCTGTTGGTGTGGTATGTCTGGCAGTGGATCACAGCTTGGTTCAATGGGTAGCCTGACCATGAAATCACAACTTCAGATCACTGGTAAGTCTTAAAAAGATCTACTGCTATACTTTTTTCCCCCAAGATAAAAATAATCTTAAGAAAATCTTCAGTGGCTCTTTTATATCAGGTGTTGAATTAGTATTTGCTTAATGAATGAATGAACAGAATGTTCAGTTGTATAAAAATTATGCTTTTGTTTTGGGATATTCTTGGGTATTTTGCAGGTTTTGTTTTTTCTCTCCTATTAAATATTGGTGTCTGGGCAGTTGCTATTGTTTTTTGTTTTGTATTGACAGCATTGAGAGGTAATTCACATACCACACAGTTTACTCATATAGAGGGTTGCTGATCCTTAGTATGTTCACAGTGTTGAATAACTGCCACCACAGTCAATTTTAGAAACCTCTACCCATTCCTGGAGGACTTCCCGTGTCTCCTAGCCACCCTCAGCCCTAGGCAACCACTAATCTACTTCCTGTCTGTAGATTTGTCTATTCTGGATCTCTCATATAAATGGAATCATAAAATGTATGGCTTTTTGTTTCTTTTCCACTTAGCATGTTTTCAAGGTTCATCTGTATTGTAGCATGCATTAGTATTTCATTTCTTTTTATTGCCAAGTAATATTGCAAGTATGAACATACTACATTTTATTTATCCATTTATCAGTTGATATATGTTTGGGTTGTTTCTACTCTTTAGCTATTATGAATAATGCTATGAACATTTGTGTACAAGTTTTTGTGAAGGTTTGTCATTTCAGTTCTCTTGAGTATATACCTAGGAGTAGAGTCACTGGGTCATATAGTATGTATGTTTCACTTTGTGAGGAATAATTCCAAATTATTTTTCAAAGCATCTGCACCATTTGTATTCCCATCAGCCATGTATGAGGGTTCCAATTTCTCCACATCCTTATCAATGCTTGTTACCTGTCTTTTTGATTATAGACATCCTGGTGGGTATGAAGTGGTATGTTACTGTGGGTTTGATTTGCATTTCTCTGGTGGTTATTGATGTTGAACATCTTTTCATGAGCTTATTGGCCATTTGTGTATCTTTTTTGGAGAAATGTCTATTTAAATCCTTTGGTTGCTATTATTTTTTAATATATCTGTCTTTCTCTAACCATACTAACCAAGTGTATCACTTTCACATTAGTATTCCTAATGTTCTAATATGCCATTTGTTATGGAATGTAACAATTCCTGCTCAAAAACCTTTGGTGCTTCTATTTGGCTATAGTATAGAATTTCTGTAGCCTGCGCTAAGAGCTTTAACAGTCTGGCTCCATATGGTCTCTTTGTAGGTATTTATAGATAAATTATTTGGTGAGTCACCGGACTTTTTTCAGACATGCATGTATCTGTATCACACAGTGAAACCTTAGTCTTTATCCTTTTAATGGCATTTATTTCTTACAGGACAATTATTCTCTGTATAGTATTTCAGCTTTTTAAAAATTTTTATTTATTTATTTTAGAGAGAGAGCTCATGAGCGAGTGAGGGGTGTGGTGAGCAGAGGGGAAAGAATCTCAAGCAGACTCCAACACAGGGCTCGATCCCAGGACACTGAGTTCATGACCCAAGCTGAAACCAAGAGTTGGATGGTCAACTGACTAAGCCACCCAGCCACCCCACTATTTTAGCTTTTATTACACCTGTCTTTATTTTTTAATTAACATTTTATTTATTTATTTGAGAGAGAGAGAGCACGAGCAGGGTAAGGGGCAGCGGGAGAAGCAGACTCCCTGTAGAGCAGGGAGCCTGATGGAGGGCTTGATCCTGGGACTCTGGGATCATGACCTGAGCTGAAGGTGGATGTTTAACCAACTGAGCCATCTAGGAGCCCCTTTATTACACCTGTCTTATATCCACCTCTGGATTATGAATATTAGGCCACAAATCATATCCTTATTATTATCTTCCTCAAAACCTAAAAGTGATTGAATTATATAAAAATAGCACTTTTGTAAGGTGACAGTATCTTAGAACCTATTTTGGGGGATTCCTTCACTAGTCTCTTTCCTTAGCACTGTCTGATTCTCAGTGAAAGATACTAATATTTCTTTGTTAAGCAAGATTCTGATTGTTTTCCCCTGCTCCCCATCCTGAAGCTAGCCTGAGTAGCTGATTTAAATTGAGCCAGCTTCTTAATTACTTTTCTTTTTTTGGGCAGATTAATGTTGAAACCTTGGATTGGAATGATCTTTAAAAAAAAATCTTTACCTTTTCAGGTTACATAAATAATACACATGTTTTTTATTTTTAAAAACTCGGTAAAATAGGGCACCTGGGTGGCTCAGTTGGTTAAGCGACTGCCTTCGGCTCAGGTCATGATCCTGGAGTCCCTGGATCGAGTCCCGCATCGGGCTCCCTGCTCGGCAGGGAGCCTGCTTCTCCCTCTGACCCTCCCCCCTCTCATGTGCTCTCTCTCTCTCATTCTGTCTGTCTCAAATAAATAAATAAAATCTTTAAAAAAAAAAAAAAAAACTCGGTAAAATAATAGGGGTCTTATTTATCATCTTAGTCCTTAGAGATGATACTGTTATTCCTTTAGGTTTCAGTTATATTCCTTTTGACTTTTTTCTTTGCATACTGTTTATCATATTTGCTATCATCATTATTATAGTAGGAAGAACATTTAATAAATGCCTGAATGCACCTCAAGAAGACAAAATTCTTGCCATTTATAAGATTTTAATCTTGGTTCTACATTTTCTGAGAATGCACAAATACAAGGCAAAAACAATTTAATAAAAACAAACATGAAGAGGGCGCCTAGGTGGCTCAGTCGTTAAGCGTCTGCCTTCGGCTCAGGTCATGATCCCAGGGTCCTGGGATTGAGCCCCACATCGAGCTCCCTGCTCCATGGGAAGCCTGCTTCCCCCTCTTGCACTCCCCCTGCTTGTGTTCCCTCTCTCTCTGTGTCTCTCTCTGTCAAGTAAATAAATAAAATCTTAAAAAAAAAAAACATGAAGAATGGATAAAAATTATATATTTGGCAAATATATCATTAGATATGAGACAAATAGAGAGCATAAGATTATAAAGAGTAATGTGCCAAGTTGAATAAATCAACTGTTCTTCATAGGTCATTGTTTAGTTCTTTGCTTTTGATGCTAGAAACCTCAGAACTAAGTTTTTTGCACAAATCCCTTTAATGACATTGTATTTTTTTCTGTTAATGGATCAGTTATAGTATTGTTGTTTTCTTTTTTTTTTTTTTTTTGTAAGCTGCCTCAACATTTTTCTAGAATCAAGGAGGGCATAAATATTCAAGTGTAAAAAATAAATGCCATGGCATATGGTAATGGCAAGAAGAGACAACAACTTTGGTCAGGAAAGAGAGATACCAGTATTTGACCAGAGTTGCTGTGAAAGGAGGCGGTGCTTAAAGCATCTTGCTATTTAAATGTAGGAAGTTATTTTTAAAAAATGTAGGGGAGTAGAAGGAATCTTTTTAGGAGAGAATATGAGCAAGAGGCACGAAGCAGGGGACGCTTGGGTGGCTCAGTCGTTAAGCGTGTGCCTTCGGCTCGGGTCATGATCCCGGGGTCCTGGGATCGAGCTCCGCATCGGGCTCCCTGCTCCATGGGAAGCCTGCTTCTCCCTCTCCCACTCCCCCTGCTTGTGTTCCCTCTCTCGCTGTGTCTCTGTCAAATAAATAAATGAAATCTTTATTTAAAAAAAAAAAAGAGGCACGAAGCAGGGAAATGCACAAGACTTTGCCAGTGCCCCTAAAAGCCACTGCTGCAGAGTGGGGAGCCATGAAAATTTTATGCGAGTGGGCCATCTCCTTCAGATATGTGTCAGGGCTACAAAAAAAATCATTGCTGGAAGAGATGGGAAGTAATCAGGGCTTTTAACAAACAGTAATCAATTGTATTTGTGTTTTAGAAAGTTGGTGTGAAAGATTGATAGGAGAATTGAGTGTCAAAGTTAAAATCCTACTCTGCTTCTGCTCTAGTTTCTTGTCTTTTTTTTTTTTATTTAAAGATTTTATTTATTTGTCAGAGAGAGCACCATCAGGGGGAGCGGCAGGCAGAGGGAGAAGCAGGCTCCTCATTGAGGAAGGGAGCCCAATGCGGGGCTCGATCCCAAGACCCTGAGATCATGACCTGAGCCAAAGACAGATGCTTAACCGACTGAGCCACCCAGGCACCCCAAATTTAAAAGAATATTGTCAGAATGAATGGCAAGAATGGTAGTATTTGTGAAAGATCATCGGTGTTTATGTAAAAATTTAATTTATGGGTAGAATGGAAGTGTTAACATTGTTATGAGGAGGATAACTGGTGGATCACATATTTAAAATTTTCTTTACCTCTTTGTCCTTTATCCTTCACATCCCTGTCCGTCATCAGAATCTGCTGATTTTGACAATTGGAGTTTTTGGGTCCTCTTTTTCTCTAATTGAATGGCCTGGTCCCTTACCTTGGACATAAGTCTGTTTTCTTATGTCCTTCCCTGTCTTTAGCCATTTCCTGTTTGATTATGTTTTACACATAACCTCAGCTATTATTCTGAACTCATCTGTGTTTTTTATTTCATGCTTGCTGTGTGCTAGCATTATACTATGTGGCAAAATAAGTAACTTTGGTATTTCCTAGAACTTTCTTTGCCTCAATCTTTACTTAGAACTGATCATTTGAAGAGGAGAAACCATCTTGATTTTATTACTAATTGAAATTAAATAATATTGTACTTTCCCAAATCTACTAGAAGACTGTAATCTCTGGATACTAGGAACGCCCTTTTTACTTAAATTTAAAGTTCAGAGTTTATATAAAATTCTATCTAGCCAACACATAGTTCTGCCACAGAGGCCTCTTGTGGCCTGTCGTAACTCTGACCACAAAGCTAGCCCTTGCTTAACTGGTTTTATTTCTTATCAGTTCATACTGCTAATTTACCGGGTCTCAGCACCCTTACTTGTTTTACCTTGTTCACTGTAGCCTCCCAGTTCTCAAAATAGGATGGGATAAGCTAAGGATATTCACTTTAATTTCTTTATATTTAAATTGTTAGGGTGCCTGGGTGGCGCAGTTGATTAAGTGTCCGACTCTTGGTTTCGGCTCAGGTCATGATCTCGAGCCTTGTATTGGGCTCCATGCTCAGTGGGGAGTCTGCTTGGGACTCTCTGTCCCTCTCTTTCTACCCACCCCCCAAATAAATAAATAAATCTTTAAAAAAAATTAAATTGTCTAGGTTTTTGTACTAGAGAGTTAGGATGAGGAACCAAAGTCAGGTCAAAGCATTGACCTTCAGAAAGGATCAGAACATTAAATTTTAAAAGTTTTTTATTTGAGTAATCTCTACATCCCATTTGGGGCTCGAACTCACAACCCCGAGATCAAGAGTCACATGCTCTTCTGATTGAGCCAGCCAGGCGCCCCAGAAGAACATTAATATATGCCATGACACTATATACAATACAATACACACTGTATGTGTATATGTAACAATAAAGCAGGGAAACTTGTTTTTTACCATTACTAATCATTTGGTTCAACAAATAGATTAAATGTCTCTCATGTTTAAATTACTAAGCGCTGTAGGAATTAAAAGACTGTCTACATCCTTGTCATGACAGGGATTACAGGGTGATTTAAACTAAAAACCAGTAAATTTACTAAAAGCTAAGACAGAATGAAAAGCTGTAGGAACCATATGTAAATATGAAAATGCAGTGGAAACGTAGAGGCGGGAGCAATTTAACTTCTTAGGTTTAAAGAAGCATTGAATCAAAAGAGAAGGGGTCGCTGGTTTCTCAAGAAATAGGATTTTACTAGTTAGAAAAGGAAGAAGGATCATTGTGAGTGGATCTTCCAGAGTAGCACATGAAAATGCATGGCCCTTGTGAGGGACAGCAAACAGCTAAGGGTGGTTAGAATCCCAGGGGGCTGGGTGGGATTTGGTATAGGAGGAGGCTGAAAAGGTACATAACAATGTAAAATACCCCAGAGTTTAAATTTCATTTTGCAGGCATTAGAGAAGTATTTGAAAAGTACTTACATGATCACATCTGTTTTAGGAAGATAATTCTAGAAGTTGTGAGAGTTTGCAGATGTGAGGTTAAAAACGAAAAATTACTAGAGACCTTTGCAGTAGCCCATGTAACATGATACTGACATTTTTTGGTTCCCTGTTGTGGGTTTACTGTTTTTATTCTTCTAATTTACTATAGGAATTTAAATTACAGGCAGTAGTAGGTGATCTATTTTCTAATATTAGGACTATAACAAAAGTTTTATGCATTCTAAACTGAGATTTGAGCACTTAATATCTCTTGTTCAGGCTTTACAAGTGACCCTTGGGCAAACTTTTAAGTTCTTTTGAGTTTGTCTTTTTATGTGTAAAAATTAAGATGATAGTCTATCTCACAGAATAGTCTTGAGTATTGAAATGACAATGTTTACATCTAGACACATAGCAAACACTAATAGTTGGTGTTAGTTTCCTTTACCCTTTTTATTTTCCCATTTAAAGTTTCTTAAAATGGTTCTAGTGGGGTTGGATGGGATTATGTGGCAAAATAACCTTCAAAAGTTTGAATCCTTTTTTCCCCCCAAGATTTTATTTATTTATTTGATAGAGAGTGAGCGCATGCACACACACAAGCAGGGGGAGCTGCAGGCAGAGGAAGAGGGAGAAGCAGGCTCCCCGCCCAGCAGAGAGCCTGATGTGGGGTGGGGCTCAGTCCCAAAACTCTGGGATCATGACCTGAGCCTCCGAGCCCAAGGCAGACGCTTAACTGACTGAGCCACCCAGGCGCCTCAAAAGTTTGAATCCAAGAAAATCCCTGAGGGCAGATCATTTCCTTCCTGTCGGCCTACATTGCTTTGTTCTAGGTTTAATCAGTTTCAGAGGATCATAGGAGTCCCTGAAATACAATGGTGGGCTTTGAATAATTGTTTAGGCTCTTCACCTTTTCTCACACCAGAAATGTATTAAAAATAAGGGGTTTATATTTTTTCTGTGGCAATCTGTGATTGAATTTTGTTCTGTATTAAGTATTAGAGGTTTGTAGTACATATTAATCAGAGATAGGTCTGGTCCCCACTTGAATATTTTCCATTCTGAAAAAGACTTCTTAGTGTTTATATTTAGATGTCTCACATATCTCAAATTTTATACATTCAGTATAATACTCTTGATTTCTTCTTGCCCATGCCACCCCCTCAAACTTGTTTCCCAGATCTTTTCCATCTTATTAAATGATACTGTCTTCCATCCACTTATTCATGCTGGAAACCTGAGAGTTATCCTTGCTTCTTTTCCCAACTTGCTCATGTAATCTAATCCTGTTGGTTCTCCTTAGAAAAGATTTATTCCTCCCCATATCCATGTTCACCATCCTCGTCCAAACCACTGTCATCTCTTGATTAGATGACTCTAGTAGTCTCTTAACTCCTACTTTTGTTTCCCTTTCATTTTTCCCACAGCAATAGAATGATCTTTGAGTATTAGTCTGATCATCACTGTATTCTCAGTGCCCCAGATAATACCTGATATATGTAGTAGGCACTCAGTAAATTTGTTGAATGGCACTCTTTTACTTAAAATTCCTCAGGGCTCCTTATTGCCTACTTCAGTAATATGTTTTGCAGCTCTTTTTCTTTCTTTGACAGATACTTTTTTTGGTACTGCATATTGATTTCAAATCTGTGGTTGAACTTTATTATACCAAGTATTCCAAAATAATGATGAAACTCTGATTTATAGAATGTGCATACATTGTTGGAGTACTAACCTTGTAGCTGGCTTGCATGCTACCAAAAAAAGGCATATAAGTGCCAAAGGACAGAAGTATGTGGTACTTGTGAAGTCAAGAGATTCATGGCTGCTACCTGGGACTGGACTTCTGGGATGCCCAGACTGTCTGTGCTTTGAACTATGTATTGAGCTTCTTGGGTAGCTGCTATACAGACTCCTCTAGCAACTCCAAGGGTCCCTTAACCTTGATAGGCACTGGCATTCTCTGTGCTTTGCTGCTAGAATAGATATCCAGGTTGTAGAATATTTCCATGGCTGTGATCACCTCCTTTATTGGGGAGCAGTGAGTTCTCATTTGTGGAAACCATGAGGTGCTCTGCTAGATTCAGATCTACTTATTACACTGTCCAAGGGGCTTGGACAAGGTTATTTTTTGGCAAAACTGACTAATTCAAGGGTGAAGATGATGGAGTCAGTATCTTTTTTTTTTTTTTTTTTTTGACAGAGAGAGAGATAGCGAGAGCAGGAACACAAGCAGGGGGAGTGGGAGAGGGAGAAGCAGGCTTCCCGCCGAGCAGGGAGCCCGATGTGGGACTCGATTCCGGGACTCCGGGATCATGACCTGAGCCGAAGGCAGACGCTTAATGACTGAGCCACCCAGGCGCCCTGGAGTCAGTATCTTAAGATGCACTTCGTAGGGAGCTCTTACTAATATGAGATATATGAGATGCTAAAAAATAATCCTGGTTTGTAACTCTCTTCCTCTGGTGGCTTTCCAGCATGCTTTTAGAATAAAATCCAAATTCCTTATCTGGGCTTACAAAGCTAAATGTGATCTCACCTCATTTACCATACTTCCCTGTTTGCTATAGTTTCCTCAGATATGCCAAGTTTTTTTTGCTTCTCTCTGGAATGCTCTTCCCACTTCTCTTCTCAATGGCTAACTCCCTGTCGTTTAGACGTTTGCTTAAAAGTGCTTCCTCAGAGGTCTTCCTTACTACCAAGTCATAATCTGCCATGTTAGCCTGTTTTTCAGCACATGGACTTTCTCTAACTAGGATATTATCTCCCTGGAGCCAGAACCTTTTCTATACTGTAAACTACTCTATTTATAGTTTAGAGCAATATCTGGTACATGGTAGGCATTCAAATATTTGTTGACCAGGTTTGTTGTACTTTTTAATTGACATTAGAGTTCTGAGACTATTGATACCAACATTGGGGGTATAGTAATAGTAATTTGGGTTCATGATAATGGGGGAAGTAATATGTTTATTTACTAGGTTGGAAGGAAATACAAAGGTCATGACTGAATAAAATTAGTAAATATTTTAGAGCAAAACTGCCTCTCTGAGTAAAAGTAATAATGTTCTGTGTAACCTTTATGAAATTAAATTGATTTGAAGGATGAACTAACATTTCAAATATTTAAATAGTTTCCCTTTTCTTTTGCCTAGTCATTTCAGCGAAACTTAAAGAAAATAAAAAGAATTGGTTTGGACCAAGTCCTTATGTGGAAGTCACAGTAGACGGACAGTCAAAGAAGACAGAAAAATGCAACAATACGAACAGTCCCAAATGGAAGCAACCCCTTACAGTGTAGGTTTGAAAGTATTTTCTGTAATGTATATTTAGTTTAGTAGGTGAATAGAAATGAAGCTTTAAAAATTTCTTTGCTCCTCCTCCTCTTTCATTTTTTCTTTCTCCCCTATTCCTAGGACTCCTTTCTTTAGTCCCCTTTTTGTTTCTCTTTAGATATTTATTTTTCCAATCTCTCCTTTACCTTCTCTAGTTTAGTTGGTGATGGTATCATTATTGCTACTGAACAGTATCTGGAGAGCCCATGGTCATGGGCCTAGAAAGATTCTTAGCAGCTCTTTCCTTAATTTAGAGCTATCAGTAGCTCACTTTAGTCTTATTTATTTATTTATTTAAGAGTGAGAGAGAACTCACATGGGCAGCGGGGAGGGACAGAGGGAGAGGGAGACAGAGACGCAGATTCCCTGCTGAGCAGGGAGCCTGAGACGAGGGGCTGGATCCCAGGACCCTGAGATCATGACCTGAACTGAAGGCAGACGCTTAGCTTAATCGGCTGAGCCATTCAGGTGTCCTGCTCACTTTATTTTTTAGTTTAGTTTTTAAAAATAGTTTTGTTTTTGTGTTTTTAATTACAGTGCCCATACGGAACCTACACAGGGGTTTTCTTCCTTTTTTTGAAAGAAATTATACATTTATTCTAGAACTCTGTTTTTATACTTTACCTAGTATGGTTATCTCTCTAGCTGTATACATACAGATCTAACATACCTTATATAGTTACATAATATTCCTTATTATTTATTTATTTATTTTACTAGTTTCCTGTTATCACTTGGTTTTTAATGTTGTGTTATCACACAGCATTGTATTATACATCCATGTTCCTGTGTCTGTATGTTGGTGTTTTTATCTGTGGAATGAATTCACAGAAATAGCAGATAGCTCAATTTTTAAAACTTAGTGACAGAGCCCCATGTGTTGGTATTGTACATTCACTGAAGAGAATTATAGATTAAGTTTAATGTTTTTACTAAAATGGAAGAAAACATGATTTACCAACAAATGGATTTCAAAATAATATAGCATATTTAGTTTGGAGACTAACTATATTAAAATGTAGTTCAAAATATCATTGGTTATTACCACATCAAATAACAAAAATTGTTTTTTATTAACTAACATTTGGAATTCTTGCATTTTTTCCCCTAGAGAAATAAACGAGTGACTAAAAAAAGTTTTGTTTTTAAATGGTGAGATAAGATATTTGAAACTATATGCTCTTCATACAATACATGCTTATGTGTATAGTATTTATTCCTAATAAATGACAAAACAAATTGGATATACCTAAATTGTTCTTTAACATGAATTTTGGATTCTAGGGCATCTTGATGTACTTTATGATGATTTTGAGCAAATGAGTGAAATTTAAGAAGTGTCATTCTAATGTTTCTCATCTGTATTTATTTCAACAATGTTTAGTCTTTGTTTTTAATTAATGATCTGTTAGAGATTGTCTCTAAATTTTAAATTATATGAGTAAAATTTTTTTAGAAAAGCAAATGAAATCTGTAAAAGTTCACAGCCTCCATAATGACTAGAGATATTCAGCAGAATAATTGAGTATTGACTGAATACTCATCTAGTTTCTTCCAGCTACTGACTGTGCTCACTAGATGTGCACTTTGAGGTTCTTAAGCTGATAATGATGTGAATTCCTTAGTGGTTTAAAAGTTAAGAAAAAAGAAACTCTCCTTGTAGCCACTTATGATAGTGCTCTTGTTGAGCCCAGATGTTGGGGGGAACACATAGCTCAAGTTTTGAATTTTTAAGTTGCAACAGATTGGTCTGCAATTTTAACATGGCTTCCATTGCAGGCATTCTCTCTAGAATTGAATTGAAATAATTTAGGTAAGACCATCTTTGACAGCATACTTTATCCTCTCTCAAATTGAAGTAAAAGTAATCATTTCTTTTATTCTATCCCCATTATGATTTACCAGACACCTAATGGAGAAGTGTTTTCTTGATCTGTATTATATGTTCTTCTGAACATAACATCTGAGAATTTTTTTTTTTTTTAAGATTTTATTTATTTGAGAGAGAGAGAATGAGTGAGAGAGAGAGCACATGAGAGAGGGGAGGGTCAGAGGGAGAAGCAGACTCCCTGCTGAGCAGGGAGCCCGATG